GCACTGGCCTAGGAGTCAATAAACTGTGGTTCTCATCCCATAGCAGAGTCAGTTCGTATCTGCCTATGGTGTCTGTGAAGGACATGCACAGCCATGAGCTGCTTTGAGAACAAGTAAAAAGCACTTATAGAAGAATTAGGAATTGCAGTGAGATGAGGACAAGGAGCACAAACTCTGCAGAATCACTGGGCTTTTATGCTGCTGCCTTTTGCTGTTTCCATGAGCTTGAATATGCAAGCTCTTGTACCGAATGATCAATGCAGGCCTGAACTGCTGGTTTTAATTAGCAGAGAGTAGAAAGCCATGTCTTTTAAAAAAAAATCTCTAAATAGGAAAGCCCCCCCCCCCCCCCCCCCAATTTTGACACTTCTCTATAATAACAAACTACTTAACGCCTGGGAAAGCAGTGCAGAGCCCACAGATTAGGTAATTTACTGAACAAGTTGTTAGCAGAGTCAAGTGCTTGGACTTGATTTTTAAAAAATTTTGGGGGGATTCCATTTCTGCATCTAGGCCAATAGAGATCATCCCAACTGTCCCAGAATATGTGAGAGTAGGGAACAGTCATGGCCAGAGTCGGTTTGGGAATCAGGACCAGCTAGAAGCTGACAAATACTCCAGGATATGTGCTCTTTTCTATTTCATTTTACTAATCTGCCTCCCTTTTTACCTGCTCTCTGGTTTCAAGGGCATGTTCCCGTTTAATGTTTTAAAAGACTTGTTTTGCCCTTCCAGCTTCTCTATCCTTCTCCATCTCAAGAGGAAAATGCTGTGGCAACTCTGTGACATTCCGTTTTTCTCCTTTCACTGCTTGTGACAAAGTGAGCGGGACTGGAGTCCAGTCTTCTCTTGACAGCACAAAAGGATGCTTAAAGGACTGTGAATACACCATTTATTAGGCAGGCCTGTAATGACACCTGGTGTTCAGTCTAGGAAAATGCTGATTATTGTGCTGCCCTACTCTGGTCTTGGGAGAATTCAAATGTGAACAGGCTGGCTGAAGGGGGAAGCAGAGATTCTTATTTCTAGATCTGCTGAGAGGACCAGGGCAACATTATCCAGACTCTGTAACCCATGTAACTAACTCAGCGGTGTGAGTGGTGCAGGATGACTAAAATAATCTGTATGGTCTGTGTGGAAATGAGGTGTAACTTTTGAGTGATATGTGGGGAAGGCTATGGAGAAACTGTTAAGCTCAAAAATGGAAACTGGTTTTATCCCTATAGGATTTGTCTAGTTGAAGATAGATCTCTGTGCCTTTGATGAGGTTGAAATCCACTACCCCATCATAGAGTAAATTTGAGAATTTGTATTAGTTTGATCCAGACGCAAATTTTCAGTCCAGAAAATGGTTTCATCTTACCAAAAGTCAGTCTCACAGTTAAGTGAGCCAACCTGGTACAGCCTCAGCCTTCATCCACTTCAAGCCTTGCTGTATGTTAGGCATAGACAACCCAAGAATCTTTGGAAACCAAACCACCATATCAAAGCATCAGCCATATGCATAGAAAGCAGCTTATCACTTCCTCCTTCTTCTCTGGAGAGAGATTGTTCAGAGTTGAACCAAAGCATGTTTCATTAATAAACACTAATTGCTGTCTATCATCAAGCACACAGGGCTACTTTCTACTATTTTCTAAATTAAAAATCCACACTGAAGCCTCTGAAGAGATGAAGATCAGAACAGGCTCAATTTTCCATGCAAATAATTTGCCTCTGATCTTGACCCAGGATTTTCATGACAATTAGAGAGAGCGTGGGGCTCCTGTGGCTCTGAGCTGCCCTGCGGTACCCAGCTGGCCCTCTCCCTCTCCCCAGTAGTGTTCCTTTCATGCCTGCTTGTGAGGGCATATGTGCACCTGAGGCATTTTCCTTCGCTGACTTGAAAGTCATGGCTCTTCAACAACATCTATGTCTGTCGCCCCTTTCCTGGTTTTTTGTTGGTTTTGTGGGTTTTTTTTCATTTGATCCCACTTGCTGAGTGCTGACAGGAACCAGATGAAAAGACTCCAGCCTTTCAGTATCTGTACTGAGCATCAACCCAGACTTATCTATGTGGTTTTGAGTACATCTGATTTTGTGTTTAACACTGTATGAACATGCCTGTGCAGCTTCCATCCATCTCCAGTAATATCATCATCAAGCATTTAAAAAAACAACATATCACCATCCCCTTGGATTCAAGAGGCTGACTTTAAAAAGAGATGGTGGTGTGTTGGGTTTTTATTTTTGAAGTGTTTGATTTGTATTCCTCATGGCTTTCTGTGATGCAGCTTGTGTAATATGATTTACATTTGTTTTCTTTGATGTGAAAGTAAGTATTGGAGCAACTTACCAGCTACCTTAATGGTAAAATCTTAACCACATGCCTGCAGATATTTTTTAACAGAAATGAAATTCTATTTGCACCCATGTAAATATTCTATGTAGACAAGTTCTGAGATTTGGGGAGGTGGGAAGGGAAGTTGTGCTTGAGATGAGCACAGTATCTTTTTAGGTTTTTATAAACTGTGAGACTGGAGTGACCATTCTGATGATTAAAGCAAAATTCTGCATGAGTTAAACCACTGAATTTGCTTGAATGCTGACCTTCTGAGATCCTCAGTCCCTGACAACAAGTTAACCTCATCACCTCAGACTAAGCTTGCTTTACACAGTGTCTTCCTCTGAGCTGATTGAAAGCAGCAGCTCTTGGCTTTCATTCTGTAAGGAGACAAATTATATGAGGTTTTTCAGTTTTTCTTATTAGCCAAGTGAATGACAAAGAGATACCTCAACTAGCTTCCTTTTGAAGTTCATAAACCTGCTTCTTTAAAAAAAACAAAAACAAAAACAAAGACCAATTGCAGCTTTCCAAACTTGACTTCCTCTTAAAGACATGCCTTTATTTTTGTTGCCTTTTGCAACCATTAAGCACTGTCTTGCCTTTCTTAAAAAGAACTTTAATCTCCTAAAATCTTTCTCTTATGCACATGTTTTACATGAACCTGTCAACTGGGAGAGGAGACAAGCCAAACCCTCTACCCCACACTTGTTCTTCTGTTTCCATGAGAATGGTTCCCTCACTCTGGAATTGCTCAAAGAAGGCACCTACCAGGATAGGGTTAATGCCAACAAATACATGCAGCCCACTTACTTGCAAATTAATTTAGCTCCATGTAGAGTTACTAATTGTCAATGTCAGGAAGTAATTAAGTTTGCTTTGATTTCTCCCAGTCATACGGAGAAGAGGAATTTACTATGCTCTGCTCATCACTGCAGAGGTGTCTTTTCCTCCAACAAGGACAGAAAAGCAACTTACAATTTGATGGGAGAAATAACTTGTCCTTCTACTGTCTTCAATATGGCTACACTGCATCTTTGTCTTACCATCAACCCCCTTGGTGACTGGATAAGGGAAAAAAAAATGTGTTTGGAGAGGAGATTCCTCCGTAGTGGAGAAGAGCTGGAAAGACATAGTGCTGCAGACACTTAATAGAAGTAATTTAATATTGTTCCCACTTCATTTGTGTTTCTGAAACAATGATCGAAAAGTTATTTACCCGTCGTCTTCTCCATCAGGCTCTTACTACTCCCTCTCCTACTATCTCCAGTTATACATGCCTTGCAAGCAATAGTTTATTGGAGAGATGTATGGGCTAGCTTGAAATAAGCTGGCTCAGGTTCTGAAAGAGTCCTCACTGTGTCTGGACTTTGATGATTAAATTCTGTTTTACCTACAGATATAAATCTAGAATAGTTTTACTGGAGTGACAGGAGTCACATTGCTGTACATATTTTATCTACCATTCTTGCTCCTGATGGAACTCTACCTGCACTTCTGTAGCTTCTACTTGTTTAGGGACACCTTCCTAAAATTCTGCTGGTGTTTTAGGTTCACAGGTAAACTTACTAGTTAAAAATGTGAATTATGGCTAAGAATGAAAAAAGAACGTTATTTAAAAGACATGTGCATGCCTGGAGCAGTCCAGTCATTTCTTATCCTGTCACATCTCATCTACAAAACCTGGGAGAAACTCATTTTTCCACATTGCTTTAATACCATGGTCTCCAAACGGTGCCCTGTGTTCTAAACTGGAACCTTTGGTACCTTTCCCCAAAGCAGATGAGCCCAATGAAGAGAGGTTCTCCCGGAGGCTCTGGTTGGAGCTCTGATGAAAGACATTCCTCTGCTGCTGGCTGGTGCCATGGGTGGTGCTCTCAGGGGTCCAGGCTGGTCTGGAACTCCCTTGAGTGTGACTGTCAGGGCCCAGTTCATCCCAGGGCGTTGCAGGGCTCTGCTCAGCCAGGGCTGCTCCCCCAGCACCTGCACTATGCTATTGACAGAGAGGAACAGCGTTAGAGCTTGTATTTCTTCACAGCAGAGCCCTCCACTTGAAGGACAAACATGCAAAGTTCTACAGGTCTTAGCCCTTAGGAAATGGCTCATTATCTAGGAAGTCTCACCTTGTCAAGCGTTCACCTCCTTACTTGTTGGACAGATCCCTGGCTACTTTCCATCGTCTTTTTCTTGGAGATTGCTGGATTCCAGTGACACACCAGGCTGTCGTTTTGGACACTGTAGTTCTTGTTACCAATAAGCCAGTAGGTTTTCATTTTCCCTTTGCCCTGGGGCAAGAAAAGGAGAGAGCAGAAAACAGCTCTTCTCATGGGATATGAAGCGGAGCAGAGAATGGCCAATGCTACTACCTGTAGTGTATTTGTTCTGTCTCCTCCTCACGCAAGTGGCTGCTGTTTGGGGAAAGAATTGTAATTTATAAGCAGTTTGGGTGCTAATAATCCTTTCAGTCCAGAGAAAGGATTTGCTGGTCACTGGCAGTGTTGCTGTGGGTTTAAAATCAGCCTTACACCCATGTGTCTTTGTAACAGAATCCTAACACGTTCACCTGTATTCATGTGGTTCCATGCAGGTGCAGACGCAGCAGCTGTATTTCAAAGCACACAATAACACTTTTTTGTCCATTAGGAGTAATTTATAACCACTTCCAACTGAATTAGCAATAGAACCTTGGGGCCATGGTTAAAAATTGACTTGCAATTCACAGAAGAACAATGACCAAATCTATCATATCTCCTTCCTATCTCATTAAACACCTTTAGTGTTGCAAAGTTACAAAAAAGCTGTTACCTTGACTTCAATTTCTCCTCTCAGTTCAATTTCATATGCGTCATCTGTGAGAAGGGCATCATATGTAGCAGAACTGATATGGATCTTCTGTGCTAGGATTCAGAACAGAGCACTAGAAATTAATGATTCCCCTATTCCCAGAGACCATAGACCATACCCTCCTGCATTTATCAGCCCAGTGTTTCTTTGGAAAATGTCAGGTTGAGGAAGAAGCACAGAGAAGGGGAAGATGCCTTTAACATTGGTTGAGGGCTCTGTGACACTGTCAGATGTCAGCTAAAACACAGGAGCAGTTCAGCAGGTTAACTGACCCGCTGAGTTGACTGTGCAGTGCTGCACTGGGTATCTGCACGGCAGCATTGTACAGCAGGAAAAACAAGTGGTATTGGTAGCAAAGACACAGAAAAGGCTGAACCAAGAAAACGTGCACTGCCCTCTTCTAGGTAGCCATGGTGTTTCTACCTAATACCTTTGTGTCAAAGTCCTGAAAATAAATTTCAGCTTACCTCGTGCTATTTGACTTTTGTCATCCTCTTTCTCCATTTATTTTTGATCGTTTTCCAGAAATGGCATGAGGGATGTGACTCTGCTTGCCCATGTGAATACACAGGATTTTCTCTTGTTTATTTGATGACTAGTGTATGTACAGGGAGAGTGGGGACTGCAGGTCATGCATGTGCTGGTTCTTTGGAGCTATGGCAATTAGTTCTCTAGCCTGGGATATGCTCCAGAGAACACTCCTTCTCCTCTACAAACCTTATTTCACACTTGGCTGTGCCCATCGTGAGGGGATGTCAGGGGGTTTCCTGTCACTGCAGTACCTAAGAGACGTAGAGTGTGGCTGTGAGCCTGACTGGCACGTAAGGAACGCACAGGTTGTGCCCGAGTCACTTACGCAAGCTGGTGGACTCCATGCGGGAGGCTGTGTTTACAGTGTCCCCAAAAAGGCAATAACGAGGCATTTTGTACCCCACAACTCCAGCTACACAGGGTCCTGAGAAAATACAAACAGAGACCCCAATAAGAAACAAGTGAAGATAGTGCACGGAGATGCTAAATGCAGACACCTTTGCTGTAGTCACTTCTGGATCCTCAGAGAGCAATGGGGATTGGGAGTACTCAGTGCCTCTAGGGCCTGGCTGCACAGTGTTTACTTAAGGAGAGAAGTCACAATTTGATTAGCTGTAGCTAATTGGTGCTGATATCAGGGGAAGATGCACTCTCCATACTCAATTGTTTCACAGCCCTTTCCATGCTGATGCAAACACAAGTCATTTCACCCCAGTTACTGCTGGAACCAGGAGAAATACTCATCCCAAAATCCTGCAGAAAGTCAATGACTCGTACAGAAACGCAGAAGTATTTTCTCCTCACGCAGTGAGAATGTGTTCTGTTCTATTTTTCTCACCTACCTGTGTGTATCCCAGCCCGCAGCTGCAGCCTGCCCGTTGGCATATGAGGGATCACAACCTGCCGAACCGCTGCCACCAGATCCAGAGACATTTTGGCAATCTCGTCAGCATGTTTGGTGCCATTCCTCTCTGGCAGGCCACTCACTACCATGTAAGCATCACCAATGGTTTCCACCTGATGGGAAGGGGCATGTTTCACTAAGTGGCAGGCACCAAGCTTTTCTTTCAAAAGCAGATCAGAATAGAATTTATCTCAGCTGTCCACCAAGCTGTGGTGTAGTCCCTGTGTGATGGTGGGTCTTGGATTTCATGGCTTTTGGCCAGCTGGTGTGGTGTATTTGGTATTCACTACAGAACAAAGAAAGATTTCAGAAAATTCCAGATTCCTTGCCTGCAGGTTTGTACTCACCTTGTAAACATCATAAGACTCAATCCTGCTGTCAAAGCAGACATATAGATTGTTGAGCATCTCGACAACTTGCAAGGGAGTACAGGAGGCAGCAATGCTTGTGAATCCCACGATGTCTGAGAAAAAGATAGTCACCTGTTACAGGGAGAAGGACAGTGTGAAGCTCAGGTCTCCAGGCCAACAGTGGCAGAGCCTTTCAAGAGTTTGGGAATTTCTGAAATTCTGAGCAGAACAACCTAAGACACAGGCTGCAGGTAGGACCAGTGTTGCAGAACTGAATAGATATAATCCTAAATTAACAAGTTCTGGCTCTAAATTGTTCCTATATACTTGACAGATAAAATTATACTTATCTCTAAAGTTTATCATATGCACTTCTCTGCATACCTTGTGCTAGATGGGAGACTGGAAGTCAGATGCTTTGAATCTTTTGAGCAGTGATCAACAGACTTCTTACAGAAGTAGGGCTTGATATTTCTCTCAAAGTGATTTAAACTGTGATAGAGATCAAAACTAGGTATCTGAACAAACTGGGAAATAAAACCTCAACTGTTGTCTCTGCTCTTGTTGAATCAGGAAATATTAATTGGATTTTGGGTTTTTTAAATTATGTTTATCTTTGTTATGATCAAGTTACTTACAGAGAAATTAACTTTTAAAAAATCAAACTTCTAAAAGAAAGAACAAGATATCATAATAACTGAATAAAGGAAGGGAAATGTGTGTTATAGCTGTTGACAAACAATAAGTGTTTCTTCTCCGTGTTGCCTGAGCTGTGTCAGCGTTTAAACTAAAATTGTTCTTTTATTTGTCCTTTTATTCGTCCCAGAGGAGCTACCTTTTCACTCCCTGCCTTGGTTCCAGATACTTTTGAAGTCATGACTACTGTGAATTATAATTAATTGTGCAATTACAGGTTGCTGTTATGATAATGACACCTACAAATTAAATGCAAACATTTTTAATTGTGTTTCACAGCTGAAAGTAGCAGAGTGAATAGAATTGCAATTACTGTAGTTTGAGGATTTTAGCTGTGGGCTATGCAGCACAGCTGCTAAATTCAGCACTGACAGCAGCATGCATGCAGTGAGGCAGAGCTGCAGATAAATGGGTGCCTGGCTAAACCCTGCCCTTGTTTTTCTGTCGACAGGCTTCATTACAGTTACACACTTGAGGCTACAAGATCGTCCATCCCTCCCATCTTTCTCTAAGCCCCATGCCCTCCTTTCAGTTATGTTTATGGAATCATACTGAAAAGTATGGACAGGGTTTGTCCTGTTTTGGGGGGGGATTCTTCCCATTTTACAAAGGAGGAAACTAATTTCTTGCTGCCGTGTACTTGCAATCTAATGATGCTGGCTGGCTCTCATGGGTAGGCTCTTAAACCCAAAGAAGACAACTTGCCAATGTAGGATCTCCGACATCTAAAGCTACACTTCTGGAAATTTCAGCTCTTCCTCCTTCCCCATCAGCCTAAGTGTTTCACTGCACATTGCACAGCTCTTTCCAAAACCCATCGTGAATATCTGGATTTCCATCCACGCTCAACTATGGGTGCAAAACCAGGTTCCTCAAAACAGTAGCAAGGTAGGTGCTTTTTTAGGTGAATGCTTTTATATCCTTGGTGACAGCATCCTTTCCATTTGCTAACCTGATCATAGTTTTCTGCCTCAACTTTTTGGCATTTTCTTAGCTGCTTGGCCACAGATTTTGGCAACATCTGGTGTAAGAGGTCCTCAGCTAGCCGCCTTTCCCTTTTCAAGTCTTCTGTCTTTTTCTTGAGGTTCTTGGCATAACTGTGTATCCAATCTGTCGTTTGCTTGAAGGACATCAGGATTATGGGGTAAATGAGGCAGGCTATCACTACCAGACTGATCTTAAGGCTCATCGTGCACAGGATTTCTTTAGATTTCTTGATGAGCTTTTCCTGTCCCTTCTGCAGGAGGCAGCTCTGTGTGTAATGCAGTCCCTTTAACAAGGCTTCAATGGACACAAATTCATTTGAGCCCAGGAATGGGATGTAAAAAGAGATTCCTTCATAGTGGGTGAAATGTAGTGATAGATTGACATTATCCATCCAGCACTTACGTACACTCTCTGATGAGAGGATAGCATAGTTCAGAATGACAAAAAATTGATGCAATATTGTTTGAAAGCTTGTAGATGCTGGCATTAAATGAGCTTTAAGGATGGCTTCTCTTATTTGAAGGATGAGTTTAAAAGCTACTATATCTGCCCAGTCAGGATTGTATCTCATAGCTTTGAGGTCTTCATGGGGACTACTGAAATGCTCCAGCAGTTCAGAGATCACTCTGGATAGCACCTGCCCGGCTTCAGTATCCCCTGTGCTATTTAATTTTTGTCTCATGTCAATGATGTAGAATCTACAAAAGGAGCTTTTCTCCTCCTTGCATTGGCAATTCTCACAATACAGTTCTGATTCACTTGCCTTACAGAGGGAGTTTAAATTCCCCAGTAGCTGAGCATGAAATGATCTATTCCTCTTGTCTGCTGCTGAGAACAGCCAGCTGTGCCTTTCTTCCTGTAGGAGATAGATGAGGTGAACAGCCCAAAGGTTTTCACAGGAGGCAAGTTCCTGAAGGGCTTTCCCTGTGTTTCTCCATAGTTCCAAGCTGTTGCTCAAATCAAAAGAAATGGCTCCAAGGAGGCTGCAGAGGGAGACTATGCATGCTGTCAAAATTCTTTGAACTGTTTTTCTACCACCAGCATTGGAGGAGGAAGAACATCTAAAAAAAGGAGGGAAAAAAAAAAAAGAAAAAAGAGTGGGGGTGTCTGATCCCTGGGGTGTTTCTTGCAACTCCTGAAAACATAACTGTAGATAGTAGTGATATTTAACAATTCACATACATTCTGAAACAAAGCACAGGGAATGTGCATTAGCTGAATGTTATCAAAAGACATATTTTTTAAATATTTTGTTCCACCTGACATTTTATTTTAAAAGAAAAGGTGTAGTAGAGACTGTTTCCATGACAGGCTCAGAGCTGAAAAAACACATGAATGAAATGATACAGTTTTTCTGTGAGTACTAGGACTGATAATTTGCTGTAAGTTTTATTCTCTGTGGTACTTCTATCCAAATCTTAAAGAAGCCCATGAAAAGAATGGTTACTTATTCCAGTGATCACAAACTGGAACTGTTGAATTTTTTGATTCAAACTTTTAGAATTTGTTCTTAATAGGAATTTGTAGGTGATTAGTAATTTGTGTTGATATGTTCAAATGAGCTCAGACGTTTCCACAATATTGTTTAAATATTTCAAAAGGAAGATGGTTCAAATTTCAGTTTTGTTTCAGATTTTACAAAAGCATATTCATGTCCCATTTTTACCATTTTAGCTTCATGGTTACCTTTTCTGTCCTTTTCTTTCACACTGTACATAATTGACATCCATGCTCCATACAGCAAAGCAACCTCTAACGATTTTAATTTTCAAAACTACTAATCAATCATTTACAACCTTATGTTAATGATACTCATGAAACAACTCATGTGTTAATCTGAAGCTGGTGATTCCTGAATAACTGGGCAACCCTTATTTCTACTGATAAAGAACAAACCAGGGGACTGGGTTGCTCATCAGTCCATTCAGCTCAGTCCCTTTTTTTTTTTCTTTGCGTAGTAGATGTGATTGAAAAAAGTCTTCCTCAAATCCTCTGCCCTTTCAGACAGGTGAAATTACATTTTTAATAAGGTAGGTAAAAACCTAATAAAGACTGCTGTTTCTCAGCAGAGGCTGATATTAGGCAAAACAAATTCCTGATGGGCTCTTTGCAACAGAATGGTGGTCAATGGTTGTAAAGTAGAAGAAAAGTAATAAAAGTACAGTCCCCAAAGACGATAAACAGCCATATTTTCTCTTATTTATTTAATACAATTCATGTTTAATAAAATATATATTTATTTTCAGTTCCAAGGTAACAACTGCAAAATGTCTGGCTGAAAGGAAATGCAAGCCTGGAAAAATTTATCTCTGAACCCAGATGCATTTCTGTTCTCACAATGAACTTCCAGTCTTTTCCTTACTCTATCTACTCTTTACCTGGTCTCATTTGTTCTCCATTTTTAATCAATCATTTTACTTTTGAATCCACCTAAATATGTGCCAGAGGGAGAAGAAGAACACAACAAAAATCCACCTGGATTTTATACTGCCTGCCTTTTATGACAATGACAGAAATATAAATAGGAGCTTTAATTTAGTACCAGGCTAAAAGGTGGTGATTCTACTTGTGCTTTGCAAAAAATCCCCATTTGTGTCTGTGTGTCAGCCAACAATGACAGTTCAGAGGTCTTCACCTGGCACCTGAGTGACTTAAAAACAAGCAACAGGGACATTAGGTCTGCAGAGATGCTGCCGGCACACTCTGCTGGGTCTTACCCTTCCCCTTGCTAGGTCCCAAGATCACAGGGGGTTAAAAACCTCTTTGTAAAAGCATTTTGCAGCGCTCCCACACTCACCTGCGTGGATCTGCTTGCACCCGTGCTCTCTTCCCGCTGGGCATTGCCACTGCTTGTTCTGGTGAGTCCCACTGGCAGGCTCAGGGGTCCGACAACTCCCGCCGGCTGCCTTCAGCCCTGCCAGTGCCTCGCTTTCTCACCCCCTACCCTGCCGAGTCCTTCCTGTGGCTCTGACTCTTCCTCCTGCCCAGCCTCTCCACAGCAGCCTCACATCTTCCCTCAGGTGAAGGTAGCAAGCTCCAGCCCAAGACAGGAAAAAGGCTCTAAAAGGTCTCCAGCGTTATCACTAAATACAGGCTCTGGGCTTGACAATACACAGGAAGAAGCGACAGGGATACATGCTTTTCTTTCATCTTGCAAAAAATTGTGTTTATTGCAGTACGGTTAGGTAGAATACTTGTGGTGTTACAAACATCATTTCCTGGTTCTTTGTGATCAAACGTGTCATGATTATGACTTTATTCAAACTGTTTTCCTTCTTGGCATCTATCAACGAGTTCTCTTTAGATTAGTTGGTTGCCATAACCTACAAACATGTAAAACAAATGAAAAATCAGATCACAAGGCCCAGGAATATGTGAATAGTGTATGTTGCATCCAAGATGCAGGATTTAAATAACTGAAATAAGATTTTTGCTTCTCAAGTCACTTTTTAAAATTTATATTAAATTAAAAAATAATTGATGTTCAGACTTGAGCAGCTTGTGCTGCCTTCTAGGATGCAATTACAACAATGTTATTGATGAATAATCTTTGAGTAATCAATCTGAAGTGATACCAGTAAAATCTTTATGACTATAAATATAGCTCCAGTATAAAGGGAGAATGCTTTCCTAAACATCAAGACTTATTTAAAAGTGCTAATGATTTGAACAACTATTTAAGAGGAGGACACTTTATTTTTGCTGCAGAGATTGCTTTTGCACTGGTAAGGGCTTGTCTGCAGAGGTTGCTTGTATGTAAAGTAACATTTGAATCAAAAGTGACTCAGCTCCCTGAGTAGGTAGCAGAAATCTCAGTCAGTGAGAACCTCAGAAATAGCTCAGCGTCTGTATTCCCTAGCACCAATACTGAGAACCTCACCTGCTGGAACCAGCTATTGTAAGCAGAGACCCAAGTGAAGGCAGAAGGCTTGCAGTAATATTTGCAGCCAAGAGCAGAGCCAAAGCTGACAGTACCATGTGCTTCCCGCCTGCCATCAGCACCTTGGCAGTTCAGTGGGTCACCAGAGTCCCCCTGGGAGGAAGGGGGTGACACGGATGACAATAGCTCACACGGTTATGATTTAACAGCAAATTAAGATTTATTTGTGGTGTCAGGTAGATCAAAGGTTAAATTTTAGCAGCATTTATCGGCTGACCAACCTAAAGATTAACAAAGTGATTTGGTACCATAGGATTAAAATAGCGACTTAATTACAGATTCAAGAATGACAAGACTCACACTATCTTTCTACACAAGGTATCTAAATCAAAGTGTATATGTACATCAGTTTTTCCGTGGGGTATGTTAGGATTAGCAGATTTCACCAGTCTGCACACTGTTAACCTTGGTGTTACAACAGCTTCTAAAAGCTTAAACAGGGCCCTCTAGTGTATTGCCAACCCTATTACAAGCAAAATAAACGAAAGGCAGGGGAAAAAAACATACTGAGTGAAGTGGGGCCTGATAAACTACCTCACTACACTGAGGTTGAGGGGATCCTGAGCACTGTCATGTGTTAGGACTACTCCAAGGACCTGGAAACTGTGGTGATTTCTTTGCTAATGCGCTTAGCCTGCAGCAGGACATGGGAGTCCTTCAGGAACAAAGATTTGAATGGCATCAATCAGTAATACTCTGTGTTTATGCCATTTGTAGGAGAGCTGAGACTTCATAGAGTATTGTCTAAATTAATTAATTCCCTTCCACTGTATGAAAAATCAATGCATAGAACAGCTTCCCACCCAAGCATGAACATGCAAAATGGCATCTGAAAACACAATCAATAAGCAATTAACACTGAAAGTTCTTTGTCTTCTGGAGGGGGAAAGGTATAAACTGGAGACTCAGCTCTCATCTATGAGCAAACATTTAGAAGTACCACTGTAAACTGTAACAGGAGGCTCTAAGCCTTTAGGCATTTGGCTGCCACCACTCAGGGTGGGTGGGATTCAGGCAGTTTGATTTTTGCCCTGCATCTGTTAACTGAAAAAATACTTGCCACCAATTTACTCATTTGGAATATTCTGTGGATCCCAGTTCTCACTGACAATTATTTTTTTCTGGAGGAAGTGCACTCGACCCTTCTTCCACAGCTGCTAGGTTGTATTTTCCAGTAAATCCTCAATACTTCCTAGAAGAACTGGGAAAGAAAAGGACTAACAGTTATGCAGCTGCTGGCTTGCTGCTTAGACATCTGCATC